ACAACTAACTCTACTCACATTACCTTATCTGACTGCACCACTAATGCAAACGATACGAGTTCACGAAACGTCATTCCTCGTCTCTTGAAACCTCGTTCTAGTCTACAAGTTGGAGCATTTAATGTACGGACATTGTGTCAAATAGGGCAACAGGCATCATTAGCTAGGACTTTAGAATCTCGTGCCATCGATGTATGCTGCGTCTCGTAAACGCGCATACAGAATCCTAGTAAAATTATTAATCTGATTTCACCTTTTCAAAATAAAGAAGCAGCTCGATTTACTCTTCGTGTATCTGGAAGCCCTGATGCTGCTTCCCGGGGTCTGGCTGGTGTAGGTATAGTATTGAGTCGTAGGGTAGAACTAACTCTCCTAGACTGGATCCCAGTAGATAGTCGCTTGTGTGCTGTCCGACTAAACGGGACAGTAAAGACTCGTAAAGATAGGGACACTCGCCGTTGCCTCTTCGTCGTATCTGCCTATGCCCCCACGGACTGCAGTTCAGACGAGGTGAAAGATGAGTTTTACAGAAAGCTTTCGGGCCTCCTCCAAAAAGCTAGGAGCTCTGATATAGTGATAATGGCTGGTGACTTTGATGCTCAAGTAGGTAGACTAGGTGAGAAGGAAAGACACCTGGGTGGATGTTATGGTGTTGCGTCTCAGAGAACAGACAATGGCGACCGTCTGTTGCAGCTGTGCTCAGAAAACCGCCTATTTCTAGCAAACAATAACTTTAAGCATAAGGAAAAACATCTGTTGACCTGGCGACCTCCAAAGTCGTCTCACCGTTGGACTCAACTAGATCACATCGCCATCAGCCACCGATGGAGGGGTTCGATAGAGGACTGTCGCTCGTTCTGGGGCACATGTTTAGACTCCGATCATGCTCTAGTGCAAGCGCGTATTTGTTTGAAGCTTACTGGACGTAGAAAATACACCGTAAGGAAGCCTCTTAGGGCTTTACTTAATGATAATCAAGCTAAGAAAATATTTCAGGAGGAACTGGAAAAACAGTTAGGCGACCATGCAAATGATTCCCATCCGGAGGCAGCCTGGAATGATATCAAGAAGGCTGTGGAAACAGCAGTGATATCTGCTAGCAAGGTAAACCATAAGGCTAGGATGAAGACGTGGTGGATGGATGCTCGAAAACTCATCCCACTTGACTCTGAACATGAAGATTGTAGTCAGCTTAGGCGCAGACTTATAAAAATCCTTAGACGCCTAACTAGAGCTCGTGAAGAGCAGACTAGAGAAAACCATGCTGGTTTTCGACCTGAACGTTGCTGTTTAGACCACATCTCTACACTACGACAGGTCCTGGAACACAGACACATTTAGGCGTCCTGCAATAGTCGTGTTCCTGGACCTAAAAGCGGCATTCGACTCAGTAGATCGTGAGGTTCTGTGGCAGTGTCTGTCATTGAAAGGTGTACCAAAGAAGTACATTAACTTTATACAAGCTCCCTACTCTAACACGACTCGTCGAGTGAGAGCCTATGGTGAACTGTCATCGGAATTCTTTACTTCAAGTGGTGAACGTCGGAGATGTCCACTCTCTCCATTCTCGTTTAACTTTGTCGTAGACACCCTCTTACAGTTAACATTAAGCTCGTCAGATTTTTCAGGGGTTGATCTTCTACCAGGAAAGTAGCTTACTGACCTAGAATATGCCGATGACATAGTTCTATTCGGTGAAGATGCTGACAAAATGCAGAGTCTTCTGACTACCCTAAGCAGCAATGCAAGCATGTTTGGGATGCGGTATTCCCCCTCGAAATGCAAAATGTTACTTCAAGACTGGGTTGCATCGGCACCTGAACTAGTGATAGGAAGTGAAGTAGTCGAACTTGTTGATCACTTCACTTATCTGGGGAGTTTCATCAGTGCCGATGGCCTGGTGACTGACGAAATCTCAGCGCGGATACAGAATGCTCGATTGGCTTTTGCCAACCTGCGTCACTTATGGCGTAGGCGAGATATCCGTTCGCTAACCGAAGGACGAGTGTACTGCGCAGCAGTTCGCTCCGTTCTTCTATATGGAAGCGAAACATGGCCCTTAAGAGTAGAAGATGTTCGTAGCTTACTAGTATTCGATCATAGTTGTTTAAGAAGCATTGCTCATATATCGTGGGACAACCGAGTAAGGAATGCTGTCGTTAGGAAACGAGTACTAGGTAAGTATGACAGACCAATAGATGAAGTATTGAAACTTCATTAGTTGAGGTGGTTGGGACATGTGTTAGATATGGCTAACCACCGACTTCCGCGACGAGCTATGTTTTGTGGTGTATGAGTAGGTCGGAAGAAAGTTAAGGCGGCCAGACCAAAACATGGCAGAAATGCATGAAGTCACTGACAGCTGGACTATGTCTGTTGGAAGATGTAGACTACCCGGTTGGGGTCCGCGAGACGAAATCACCAATGGTTAGAGACCTTGAACGACATGACTTAAAATCGTTTGCAATTGCGCAAGTGCATCCATTCATTGTGCTCTCTCAAATCCTAATCTTCTGAATTCGTTAGCACCTCTATCTTTGTCTTTCTAACCTTATCTCACTGAATTCAACTTCTTGAATGATATCTTCAAACCCTTTTCTTCTTCATTACCATCAATACCTCTACTATCTCTATCACTATAGGATTTGATTTGACATTTGCGTCTCTGTGCTAATGTAGTATTGCAACATGAACTTATGTACATACGTACGTAGTTCTACGTTGCAACTGACTGACTGATAGGTTAAATAAGAGAATTATTAGAAATATTTAAAAGTTGATTATCGATGAGATAAGTATATGTATTAAGAGGTATATTAAAACAAATAGATTATAGAAATGGTAAGCTAATGTTGGTCCATTACGTCATGCTAACTACGAAAATTCGAATCACATTATAGTATGGAAATAATTCACATAAGGAACAATAAACATTATTAATTCATGGCATATTTAGTAATGATGCGACGTAGCTAAATATCGGAAAATATAAGTACCAGATAAATACGCAACTGATGATGGTGCCATACTGAGTACAGTATATTGATTTAAATCGTTTGATGACGAAGGCGTTTGTAAGAAAGATACGTAAAAGATATGACAATCTATAACAAGCTCACTAAACAAAGAGAAGGCGTGCATGTGTTACTAGCTGTATTTTTTCCTGATTGTTGAGTTGATAAACTTAGAACTGAGCTTTAGACATTTTGGGTTGTTTGCATGGATTGAACTATTAAATTGTGAATTATTTTCAAATAGTATTTGGTAGTAAGAGGTATTATTGCAATCCAGGAAATGAGTTTTCCCTTTGTTTACAGCTTGTTAGAATATCTATATTCTGTCGGTTTGGTGCCTTTAGTGAGAATTAAACCCATCAAACGTTACACTAATTTACAAATTTTCACCATTATGAATTATGATTTATGAGGCTTTCGAATCGCTCCGAAATCATCGTCGCTTTAGGAGATTAAATTAAATAATCTGAGACGAAGTTAACATTTTAGTCCCAAAGTAAATGCTCTAAAGGATGAGTATCCTTGCACTATTACATATTATGTAACTTCACTTTTTCGTGTTCGAAATCGACATGGTATCTTACTTCTGTGTGCTGACAGTAAGATAGACATCAAGTAAAACTATTTAGCTTAAGTAGTGTCCCATATGTTTCGTGTGCATTTTAGTATGAATGCAATCCTTTCATTATTTAAATTTTTCAATTAATCTCGTCATTTATTTACAACTTTAAAAGTAGAGCGATATCCCTTTTTTATCAAGGTTATCAATTAAAACTATTTCGATAATGTAATATTCGAATCTGATTATCTTAAAACCCAGATCAGTTGATTTTACAATAAATTGCTTGCTTTGTGATTAATTGTTTATTCTTCATAAATACCTATGTTAGTATCGTTTCTCCCTCTTTCTGATGAATTACAGTATGTAATCCAAAGCTATCAGATATCTCACCGAAGAGGTTGTGGTTTAAATTTGCTTTTACTAAGCCCCCGAATGCCCTGGTACAGCCAAGAGTAGGGAGAGCGTGCTCTCCCTCTCATAACGCTCTTGTATAGCCACGCGTATATAGCCACCTTTCTAGAATCGAGAAGCTGTTAACCCTTCAAGCATCGTTCCACTGTTTCATGCTTTTCCGATGTTCGTGATAGGACTCATTCAGCGCGGGAACAATGCGACTAACTCATCTTTTCATATAAGATCGTACAAGACTCATTTCACGCAGTTGATACGGGCTTTGAAATTCTTTTCCCACATTTATGAAACCACCAGTTCGTCAGAATAAATTCTTTTTGTTGGGGACGTTGGATCCCTTAACTTGCTTGATAAATGCCTTAATTTTGGATTTTATGTTTTCGAGCATGGGCTGATCAGTGTTGACCTTGAGATTTCCTTTCCCACCAGGACAATCATTGGCTGTGATTGGTTACTGTGTTATTTTAGTGTGCTATTTTTATGACTCCCAAGGACATTTCTATGATATATAAATAAACACGATTTGTGTGCTTGATTGCATTGTGCTTGCCGGGTGTTTGTAAAATACCTTTTCTGCGCTATATCAAGACTTCGTTAGTTCCTTTGAGTCAGCGGATCAGAGTATCCTACTTTGTCAGTGGTTCATTGTCTCGTTCTCGTTTATCGACTAAGGTGAATCCATAATAGTTCAAGCATACCTAGTGACGAGCATAACACTTTTCATAAGCCAGAAATTCATACAGTATTGATTCCATATGTATCTTCTGAAACATTAAGGTTCATTGTTTTTTTCCCGTTCAATATTCAAATTGTATGTTATACATATTGTCGTTAATATATTTACCTAGTCTACAATAAGATATTTTCATAGGATCACTTATTTTACTTCTTAACATAACTGCTACAAAATGTTCGTACCGGCATTTCATTGTAGTTGTCCGTTATTATTTCTCATGAGACTTATCGTTTCACTCATTATCTTAGTTATTTCTTATTAATATTATTTCTTCTAGCTTGTAATCGATAGTTCACTTAGTAATGAATTGGAGTCAGAAAAACAGTTATTCCATGTGAGTTTTACCTTTACAGTTTAATTCATTTCATTTAATTATTTTAAACATCAATTTACTGAGAAAGTTATGCTAGCTCCTACTTTCATTTCGGGAAATATATTTCAATGATATTTTGGTAAGTTTTCTAAAAATTAATTAGTGTGTAGTTGTTTTTCAGGGTTGTCTTATTATAAAATTACAGATACACCTTGTTCGTGTCTATTTCAATTGATACACAGATCCTTTAACTAACTAACTGACAAATTATTGGAATTTTTTGTTGAAAACAAAATTCATCATGTACTATGGTTATGGCATTTTCCATGTAGTAGATTAATTAAGGTCAATTAAATAGAAATTCAAATAGATCACAAAATGGCCTAGGACAGTGTGACAATCTTGTATTCTTTCCATACTATATTCATTCTATATTGCTCCTTTCTTTTTTTACAAATATCTCACTTATTACGTCAAACACAACACATATTAGGGTAAAAGTACAAGTTGATGGTAGGAAACCAGGTGTACTAATAATAGTAAGAATAATAAAATACGATAACAAAAACTTTTGTCAATAGTTCAACATTGGAGAGAGTAGGTCAAACGTGGATAAATAAACTCAAAATCATAATCATTACAAAACATTAAAATCAATACGCAATAAGAAGTGTGTACATGATTATTAGATAGTAAAGAATAAAAACGGAAAGAGGCAGAAAATTACCAACAAATACAGGATGTGAAAATCATGCTCATAATAACAAAATTAAAAATACAAAAAATTTATTTAAAACGTTAGTTAAGTTATATCCAGCCATGGAATGGACAGGGGCGTCATGAATTTCTTCTGAACACATAAATTCGAGTTGAATGTATGAATCCCTATGCAGAAAGAAGCCATAGGAATTTTTATTGCTGAAGTATGTAGAAAGTTGTATCCTTAAAATTTTTTTAAACATTCGTAGGAAAATTTCTAAAAACGTTTAATCATTTCAAAGATAGTTTCAATCAATTTAAATTTAAAGTAATACCATGAAGCTAACGTAAACTATACATAATTCAGTAATCTACCATCTAATCAAATTCATTTATCAAGTGACATTGAAAATTTGATTCATTTGGTAGATGGCATAAACGATAGTCATAGGAATTTGCAAAATGGAACTACATTCACAAAGAAATGAATTGATCAATTGATCCAATAAATCATTAGGGATTCAGTATATTACAAGATTTTTCAATACTTTATGTTGTCACATATAAACTATTTCTTCCGATATCTCTATCACTTTAAAAGTGAATCAGATTTAATTATTTTTATTCTTGTGTATTTAGAAAAGTCTATTGACTATCGATCTCTACAGTTTTTTTTTTATCACTTGATATGTGTTACTTAATATCTTACCAGATATTTGATGTGGGACATAATTTAATTAAAAATTATTTCTATTTCCAAATGAAATGATTAATATCAAGATGAATTTCACCAGTTCTCAACAATAGGGGTCGTGACCAGTGAAACTCATCTATATCGAAAATCAGTCCATCATTTTTAATGATATTAAATGATTATTATACCATCCTGTTGAATGATTGAAGTTGGAAATATGAATAACTGAATTTCAATGCAATTATTTGAAGATAGAATGCTTTCAGTACACTCTGAAGGTCTTAATTTCTACCTCATGAGTGCACGCTTCTATAAATCTTTTAACTACAATGAAGCAACTGTCGCGTTTTGAACAGCTGTTGAAATATTCAGAACTTCTCCGATGTGTGCACCTACAACCACGGTGCATGCGTGTTATTCGTGGTCTACAGAGTTGAGGTGTGATGGTCCATATTTATAACTTCAATCAATTCAAGTTATTGGACGAATAGTTGTATAATTTTATTGGTGATATCTTTTCACTCCTAACATAGATTATTTACATCTGGTTACGAATGTTTCCTAATAGCTGTACAATTTGTTTTCAAATAAGCAACTAATGAACACACTATTTTAGTTTTGGTTAACATACATCATTAAAAAACTATTTTAAGTTATTGGCGTTTTTTTTTATCATGGATTATTATCATTTGAGATGTTGTTGGAAAACACAAAACACTGAATCACATCGACGATACGATATCCACCAACATCAAATGATAGTAAACATTTGAATTTTATCTTTTTTTTTCTTTTTTCTTTCTTCTTCTTCCTGTTAGTGTATCCATGTTATGATATATTTTTTTTTGTTACAATCATCAGTGTTTGAATGGTATTCAATAATTATAATAACAACTTTTGGCTTATCATCTTATCAAATTAAATCTACCAAATATATGTTTTTTTGATATAATGTGTTACGATGAGTTATTGTCTATTTTGCAATATTTCTTATTAAAAACTTTTTATTAATCTATTTTCCATAATAATCATCACTGTTTTAGTATTGAGTTATCTCTCAATGATTTTTTTTTATTGAATTCCAATACTAATTTTAAATTGTTTATGTTAGTGTAGACTACCACTGACTAATTTAATGAATTGAAAATGATAAATTTGACAAATAATAATTATTATTATTATTCCATTTGACTAATTTTGTGAATAGAATTATTCATACTATTATAGATGATTGTATCAATAATTGATTATAAATTAAAAAGAAAAAAATAACAAAAAAAAAACCCAATTTAGTGAGATTGATGAATTTTGAAAAAGTATATCATTTTAAATCATTAGTGGCTTTTTCTTTTTTAAGTCTGAGATAATTTTGTTAATTGTGGAGATTAGAATAAGTTGGAGAATCATTGAAAATCAGGGGACAATAATAGATAACGATTTCATCCTTAGTAAAGGAAGTTTTCGAAGTGAACACCAACGACTTCCCATCTCACACAATGAACACATATCTTCAGATTGCTAACTAGGATTCTGATCGTTCCAATTTCCATCAATTTGGGATATTGTGGAATGATCGTTCATCGCCATAGGGAACGACTAACACTTCAAACATATTTGAAACCCACCAAGACAAACTTTCTGATAACCGTGCGGAAATCCATTTAACTACTAGCTAAAATTGGTTTTCTTAAGCTCACTAAGTTGAAATTAGCATTAAAGTGGATATTCTAAATTAACAGTGAGAAAACATCATATGTGGAGTTAATCAGTTGAAGACGGAGTCGAATATAAACACCCATCACATATGAATATTTGATTAAACTTAAAAATACAAACCAGTTGGATTCAATTCATTGTTTGAATGTTATCTCTCTCACCATAAAAAGTTTGAAAAGCTGTAATCCTTTATGACATTGAGTAATGTTATTATTTGAAAATCCACTTTTAAGGTGAAGTAGAGAGCTTAATTTTCTCTGAGTTTTGTTGTTTCTTTATATTCATGTTGGTCAGTTCATCATATCTCCAATATCAATTGAGTTTGTGTCGGTTAGCATAATAATTATTTGGTATATTATTATATCGCATACCATATTATCTACAGCATTTTTTGATTAATTTCTCTAAATAAGCTTAAAATTTGTACCAAACATTGTACTTCGATAATGCTCACCATAAAAAAATAATTTTTTTTTCTTTGATTTTATGATGACACAACCTTTTAATTAATTACAAACTTTCTTATCATTATTACATCAATGAACTAACTGATCAGTTGTTTTGCCTTTTTTGTAATTCATTATTTCTTGTCTTATTTTTAGTCAATTCAATGTAATTCAAATGAATTATTTGATAAAATTGTTCAAGCATTAGAACTACTACCTCTTCCTTTAACTGATCTATGGAAACAAAGTAAAAAGGTATGAAATTCTATTTAATCTGACACTTATTATATATATTTAATCACAATTTCATATTAACCTTGGAGATTTTGATGTTCTTCTTTTTTTTTTTTAAAAAAAAAAAATTTCACCTAATATATGCGAACACGTGTGTTGTATTTTATTGTTCGGTGTTCTATGTTTAAAAGTTGATCAACCGTTCATTTACTGTAACTTGTTTTTGTCTTGATTAGAAAGTATATCAAAAGAAATCCTACTGATATCACAATGAGATACTATAAGGTCATTAATGCCTTATGGTTGGTGAAGAGTTCGGAAGTTGTACAACTGTATTGTCTTAGTCAAAGTAGTCATTCAGATTAATTATTCAACCATTCAATGGTCGAAGAGATTTAGTATTCATATAACTTTCACTAGGAAATCGTGACGAATATTTTTGTTGAGATGATTTTAAGTTGTCTAGGGACAATGTGAGACGTGGAATGAATGGTCACAACTAATCTGGATGTGTTCACCTGGGAGTGATTGTGGTTTAATCATTTTATGGTCTGATGTCATGTCATAGAGCGAACTTCTTCTAAAATACTCCTATATCGTAAACCTCTAAGTTAAACGGTGGTGGCATTCGATTCCATAAAGTATGATCCAACAGTATAAGCTGATTATCCTTTATGACCTCACTAAAATATCTACTGTTTCTTACTTTGAACTCTGCTCTTACATTTTTAAAAAATTCTTAAATAATATGAAGTAAGCTAAGTTGATTACCATAGGGTCATTTGTAACATACCATTCAGACGTCAATCAACGTAATCTTACAATACAGGAATATATAATTCTAATCTGTTCATAATCGTTCTGCGATTCTCTGGAAATTTGTGCATCATATATATATATATATATATATATATATATATATATATATATATATATATATATATATATATATATCATATATGTAATAAGACGGTAATTAAAATTTTTCACAAGTTGTGCCAAATACGTAAAGACTGAAACAAAAACTGCCTATTTATACACATACACTCACGTAAACATGCATAGAAAGAATGCTCGTTAGTGAATAAACAATAAAAGAAAATCACAAAAAATTTGGTACGCTATTGTTTTAATTAACAAAATATGTTAATGAGTATACATTACTAGGTTAGTTGAGTAGTTAGTTATATAATCCAACTCATAGGCACACTAGTACACTTGTATATATGCATAAACACTTAGAGCTTGCCAAGTTCTTTTTATAGAATTATTATTATTATTATCATGCACTGAATAATGTTTGTTTTTTTGAAAGTGTAAATGTATTAATTGCAATTTTTTATAATGAAAAATAAGAAGGACATGTGTGTGTGTGTATGCGGATGGAGGTAGAGGAACCAAAAACACTTGCATACATGTATATATGTGAAATTATTTGTGGTTGTTAACACGGAAAATATCAATACATGTAAATAATGATGATTGCTTTAAAATAGTACGAACAATTTATTTAGTGTACTTAATCCTTATTATTGTTACTAATACAATTAATTATTACGATTATCAGGCACTGTAATCATATGGTATTCACACAATATTTAAACTTATCTAATCGTTAAATATAACATTTAAAAATAAGTTATTTCAGTCTGTTTGGTACAGTATTCCATTTCTAGTAAGTATTTTTCTTAATGAGTCAATTTCAATCAAATGATGGTCTTAAATTGTGATATAACCATATGCATAAAGCAAGAAAATGATGCTAACTTGAAAAGAAGAGTCCTAGTTGTTTATTAGTGTGTATGCAGTGGAATTACAGTGTTTAGCATGGAATGTCAACTGCTCCAAAGAAATTAACATAAGTTAGAATTCTTACTTTTTAATACTTTATATTGACACTTATTTATGTGTGACTTTAATGCTAAAGTAAGTAGACTCAGTGAAAAGGAAAGACACCTGGGTGGATCTTGTGGTCGCCGCTAATTGAACAAATAATCAAGAACATCTTTTTACCTGACGACCCCAAAGTCGTCTCAGCGCTGGACTCAACTAGATCACATTGAAATCAGCCACCGATGGAGGGGTTCGGTAGAGGACTGTCGCTCGTTCTGAGGCACATGTTTAAATTCAGATCATGCTCTAGTGCGAACGCGTATTTGTTTGAGGCTTACTGAACGTAGGAAAGACACGACAAGGAAAGCTCTTAGGGTTCTACTTAATGATAATAAAGCTAAGAATATATTTCAGGAACAACTAGAAAAATAGTTAGGCGGCCACGTAAGTGATCTCCATCCGGAAGCAGGTTGGAATAATATCAAGAAGGCTGTGGGAAATCAATGATATCTGCTAGCAAGGTAAACCATAAGGCTAGGAAGAAGCCATGGATTTCAGTGGCATCCATCGAACTGATAGACGCTCGTAAACCCATCCCACCTGGCTCTGAACATGACGAAGAGCGAAGTCAGCTTAAGAGAAGGCTGATAAAAAGCCTACGTAACGACCGTGAACAGTGGTGGGTGGCGAAAGCAAAAGCGATGGGAAAGGCAGCGGCTATAGGCAACAGTAGACAACTTTTCCGCCTTATTAAAGAAACCGGTATTAGGAACCCGAATGTGAGTGAGACTATCTCAGAATATGACGGGACTATTATTTATTCTCAATCCAGGAGACTGGATCGATGGGCAGAACACTTTAGGGATCAGTTCAACTGGCCTCGAGCCACTCTTCAGTTACCCACGATCTCCAGTCATCCTGAATGGCAAATCGACCTAAGTCCCCCTAGTCTTAATGAAGTTGAAAAAGCGTTAGGAAATCTGAAGCGAGGACGAGCTGCAGGTCCTGATACACTGACCCCTGAGATATTTAAGGATGGTGGTTCAGTTTTAGCAGCTAGATTGACTGAGATGTTAGGTAGAATCTGGGAACTGGACGTAATCCCATCCGACTGGTCTCAATCACTGATTGTCCCAATCTGTAAGAAAGGACAGAAGTCTTCTTGTGACAATCACAGAGGAATAAGTCTAACTAATATAGTATCTAAAATATTGGCCTCAGTAATACTTCGACGCCTAACGAAAGCTCGTGAAGAGGAAACTCGAGAAAACCAGGCTGGTTTTCGACCTGGACGTGGCTGTATAGACCACGTCTTCACACTCAGTCAGGTCCTGGAACACAGACACACATTTAGGCGTCCTACAATAGTTGTTTTTCTAGACCTTAAGGCGGCATTTGACTCTGTGGATCGTGAGGTTCTGTGGCAGTGTCTGTCATTGAAAGGTGTACCAAATAAGTACATTAACCTCATACAAGCTCTCTACTCAAACACCACTGGTCGAGTGAGAGCTTATGGCGAACTGTCACCGGAATTCTCTACTTCAAGTGATGTCCGTCAGGGATGTCCACTCTCTCCATTCTTGTTTAATTTTATCATAGACATGCACCTATAAATAACCTTATCTTCGTCTGAATTTTCTGGAGTAGACCTTTTACCAGGTGGCTCACTAATTGACTTGGAATATGCCGATGAAATAGTCCTACTTGGTGAAGACGCTGACAAAATGCAGAGTCTTCTGACTACCCTAAGCAACAATGCAAGCATGTTCGGGATGCGGTTTTCCCCCTCGAAATGCAAAATGTTGCTTCAAGATTGGGTTTCATCGGCTCCTGAACTAGTGATAGGGAGTGAAGTGGTCGAACGTGTAGACCGCTTCACTTATCTAGGGAGTCTCATCAGTGCTGATGGCCTGATGACTGACGAAATCTCGGCACGGATACAGAATGCTCGATTGGCTTTTGCCAACCTGCGTCACTTATGGCTTAGGCGAGATATCCGTTTGCTGACTAAAGGACGAGTGTACTGCGCAGTGGTTCGCTCCGTCTTACTTTATGGCTGTGAAACATGGCCAATGAGAGTAGAAGATACTCGTCGGTTATTGGTTTTCGATCATAGGTGTCTTCGAAGCATTGCTCGTATAACGTGGGACAACCGAGTGAGCAACGCTGTTATTAGGAAACGGGTACTAGGTAAGAATGGTAGATCAATCGATGAAGTGGTGAAACTTCATCAGTTGAGGTGGTTGGGACACGTGTTGCGTATGCCTAACCACCGACTGCCTCGTCGAGCTTTGTTTTGTAGTGTAGGAATAGGTTGGAAGAAAGCTAGGGGCGGCCAGACCAAAACATGGCAGAAATCCATGAAGTCATTGACGAGTGGACTTAGCCATGCCGGTAATTGTCGACTACGTGGTTGGGGTCCGCGAGATGATAATAATCGATGGTTAGAGACCTTGAATGACATGGCTCAAAATCGTTCGCAATGGCGCCAGTGCATTTATTCTTTTTGTTCTCTCAAATCCTAATCTTCTGGGTTCTTCAACACCTCTAGCTTTTACTTTCTAAACTTATCTCATTGAATCATACTTCGTGAATAATATCTTCTAATTCTAACCTCTCCGATTACTTCTAATACCTTTACTACCTCTTCTACTATTGGATTTGAATTGACAATTATATCTCTGTGCTGATGTGGTATGGCGACATGAACTGATGTACTTACGTACGAAGTTCTACGTTGCAACTGACTGACTGACTGAGTGTTTGTCTAATTTAGTTTAGGATCTTAACTAAAATTTTATTTATTACAAACCTTTTTATCAAATTATAAGTACTCAACAGGTAACATGATTAAAACCTAATATCGCAAATAATTTTGGAGCGTTCAAACACGATAGTGAAATTGATTAATTTGTTTGTCATCCTATGAAATGAAAAGTAACTGAATGAATCATTGCAAATAACTGTTTTCTGTTACTTGCAAAAAGCTTCATTGGAATTTTTTTTCTTAATGTCTTCTACCAAGAAAACCATCAAACATATCGATCGATGATTTACTTATTTTCAATAAATTTTAAATACTAGTTATAACATCAACTTAATCTAGTGCACAGAAACTGTTTTAAAGAATATTTCAATATCTCTTTTGTATCTGAAGGTTATTGATCCAATCAAAACCAGTGTAAAAC